TCACTGTAGTTGATGCCTGGGACGAGGATCAGGCTATCGACGGTAGTCGTAAGCTCCCTAACTGACCTGAACTTGCGTTGGTCAAGTTTGTTAATTGCATCAGTGGCCCTTTGAGCCTCCTGTGGGTTATGCCATCGAGCTTCTACCATCTCCATGAATTGGTCTAAAGTCAAACACTTAGCCCAATCCGCCATGCGCCGCCCATACCCAGCCTTCACAACTACACCATCTAACCATTTGGCTGCCTTACCCTCTAGGTAAGACGCCGCAGTTACCACTTCGTCCTCAGGCAAGGTCCTTTTGGCCTTCACCCAAACCGGGACGGTCGTCAACCATGTGTTGAGTTCTTTGTCCTTTCACTCCCCTGAGAAGGCAAGAGGCGGTTTCATTGGGGTCTTGGGATACCATTGACCTTGCGGCTGTCCTTGTGGAGGACTAGTCTGTTGCGGTGGTGTAGCAACCATCGCTGGACCCGAAGAAGAAGATGCAACAGTTTTTGCGCCTGCTGCAGATGTGCCACTTGGCTGTGTGCCAGCTTGAACCGAAAAGGGGCCTGACATCGCCGATAACGGCAACGGCGATTGTGCTGGTGGCCAGTATCCTGGCCTTGTCAAAGCGTCCAGGATCTGGTCTAGAGTGCTTTGCATGAAGACCGAATCTGCTGTCCACATGCGCGTGCAGCGACAGCACATTCTTCTTCAACACTTTCATCTAGGCATTCATTGTTGCCTCATCCAAGCCCTCTAGTTCAGCCTTGTCAGCTTCTAAAGTTTCAAGCCTGGCTGCTCTAGTTTTCATTTCATTTTCTCTATCGGTTGCCTCTTTCAGGTCCTTCTCTAACTTACGACGAAGCCTCTCGACCTGTTGGATCTCTCTGAGCTCCCGCTCACGTGCGGTCATGGGGCTGACCTGCGAGCCTGCCATTTGACTTGAAGACTGTCTAGAACCTGTGGAACCGGAAGTGCCTGAGGAACTTGTGGAACTCGTTGGCATTCCCAACGAGCTCCCATTAGTCCCTGACGAGGACGCAGATGATGACGCAGCAGAGCTTGCGCCGTTAGCCATCGCAGCTGCTCTGGCTGCTGTTGCCTGCTCTCTTGCTGCTCCGTTTGCTTCTGCTATCCCCGCTGCTAGCGCACGGGCTCTACGTATCCTTCTTTCTTCTCCCGGCTCCAAGGCCTGAAACACGTGCGGTACCCTTAGTGCCCGTGCACGTGTTAGTCTCCTGTTGTCAGCTCTATCATCAACAGGATCTGACCCACTCATTAGTTAGACAGATAGTGTCTACACTAGAATCCCCTAGTGGAATCCTACCGCAGCATGTATCTGACCGACACAAAATTTTCTATATATAGTTGTGTCCGGCGAGTCCCCTACCTTACCGAATCAAGTGGCATGTCTACAACATTCACACATATCGTCTACATAGTCTAGATGCACCCTGACTGGTTCACTTACAGCAGCATTAGTTAGTACTGGCTATGGTAACATACAACAGTCCTACACTAATCTGTCTGTGAGGTTAGCAGTCCGTCAACCAACTAATCAAAGGTACAAAAGGACAATGTAGCAGATATATGATTGATGGGTATGGTTGTGTATACAGTTGAGCACCAATTGAAACCTACCCTCCCCTCAATCCAACCATCCGAACAGCATCATTGAGCAGGCAGTGTCTTCGTGTGCATTTCGGCCCACCCCTGTGCCCAAGTTGTCACCGAGCAAGCCAGCCCAACCACTCTTATTTACCCTCGTACGGCGATGAGCCTTCCTGTCCATGTGATCTGGCTGATAAGGAGGAATTTATAGAGCGCCCCCATCTCTTCAGGAATTATTTAACGTCGCAGTCAGGACGACGGTCACAGCCAGATTCACAATGAACTCCCAACCACAAATATTTATAGACGGTCTGGTAAGCGTCTGTCATGGGCTGGCATACCCGGAGCAACTTCTATCAGCGCAGCAAGTGCCAAACAGGACAACAGCCATCGCATGCGTGTACTACTCGCTGTGGGTTGGCATGGTGACCGTGACCCAAGTGCTTCGACCAGGGCCGTTCAGAGGCACCGCCCTTTCTCCTTCCAGTATGCTTCCGGGAAGATTGTCGTCTCTCAAGGTAGCGCGCTCACGACACCTCACCAAAAGAGAGGACTCTCAAGTTGGACTCACTTCCTCACGGTAAGAAGAGATTGAGAGAGTAGATAAGGTAAGGGAACAACGTACCTGGAGATAGCTGCCCCCAACCACAGATTTCTCACCAATTGAGCTGATGTTGCATTGGATGACCGGTCATGACCTCGGTACCACCCACAACGCAATGCAGTGCCACCTTAGTCCAATGCCACATCAGCATGCTCTCATCACCAATCAAACATTCCGCTGTAACCCACGGCATACACTGCCGTCATTAGCCTTCCGGTGCACCCCTCTCTACCCAGGGCATGCACCTAGTGTAGCCTGACGTCACAAGTACCCACTGCGAAGAAGCATCATCAACGCACCAAGTCTGTATAACGCCAGCGTGCCAAAGGTAAGTGGCGATCAAACCAGCTCCGATACCAAATTGCAAGGAACATGAGTATGGACGAAGCACAGAAATCCAGAATGCAAAATCACACTGAAGTCCAAGTATTCAAAGCCAAAGCAGATAGCACATGGAACCGAGTAACCATCCAATTGAGAATGATACA